AATATTCAAGCAAGATGGAACAAACCTTAAGCATGTCTACAACGATCATGTGAATACGGACATGACGTATGAAGATTTCAGTACATTGTGTCACGTATGTTGGCAGCACAAGTACGGATTTTTAGTGATAGACAAGGATAGTACGATTAACAATGGACGATACAGACGTGGTTTTAACGAGTTTGCGGTACCGCGGAATGGTTAGTTGTTCTCGAGACGTTGACGATGATGCTCGACACGAAAGATATCAACGAGAGGGAGAAGATCGCGAAGGAAATCGCTCGTACGAGCGAGTCGATTCGCAAGAAGCATCGGACGTTGAAGACGGGTAGAGTGGAGCAAGAGGTGCAATTGGAGAAACGGTTGAAACCGATCGTAGAGCCGTTGAAACAAATCATTGAGAATACCGGAGACGATGATCCTATCAAAGAGCCGTCTACACCGGAGTTGAAGAAGAAGAAGAATTGAAAGCGATGGAGCACAGTGCAGCACAGCACCGTGCCAATGGGTAAAAGAATAAAGCCGGATATCACGCTCCAACCGCAAAAATTAGCGTTTAAAAGCCCGATGAGGTCGAATGAAACCGACAGCGCGGATCCGTCTCTCGTGCCATCCTTGCGAGAGACGATGCAAACGTTCGAAAACCAGGAAACTCTGTATGGTCAAATGGGTCCGCTGGGCCAAGAGTACATCGGGGAGCTCTTAAGCGGTGACAAGAAGAGAGGGATCGACAACGTGTACGGCGTATACTTCAACGATGCGGGAACGTTTCTCGGAGACAAGGCCTTCGACATTGATAGAGACGACAATTTGATTGTGGACGGTGTAAAATACGCGGGCACGCCCGGTCTGTTTGAATTAATATTTAAAAGACTTCCCGACGATACGCTGTGTACGGAGGATGACAAACAAAAGTACAAGAGCATACTACTCGCTACTAACGCTCACAGACGCGGTCATAACGCGCATTTACCTATTTTGGGAAACAAAGGATACAAATACAAACATATCATCACACCTCTGATATCTAAGAAAGGTGGAGATGTTGCACATCTCGACAAGAGAGGTGCGGGTCACGCGTTACCTAAGTGTAACATACCACAGACCATGACTGTGACCGACAACGCGGTCGATTACGTGCACTGGGATGATCCGAATGAATTGGTGGATCGCCTTCGATTGCTGGACGCCTCCCGTCAGGCGGGAAACAACGCGCACGACAACGAGTTTCTCTCGATTATCGAGGAACTGCGCGAAGCTGGTCGAATTATAAATTGATCGTCGTTGTCACCGCTGTAACCAGTATTGCTCGTGCGATGCTACAGGAATGTCTATCAACAAATTCGGACTATAGCTAGGAGGAAGCAACAGGGTGACGAGACGTGGATCGTGGAGCGGCGGAGTCTCGAAGAATTACGTACGCGAGAATTGTTTATCCCGCAGTAGTTTATACTAGATCTATCAAACATCTATCGACCGATATACGGTTACTCGGGAGAAGAATTATGTTTCACAATTATAAATTTGGAGTATGTTTGAAAAGATAACCCCCGTAGAGCGGTCACATAGATTTGCACCACATCTAAGGGATGTACTATAAAAATGCGTCGGAGGCTGGGACGGTCACAAGTCCACTCAAGCTAATTGACAGAAGCGTTACGTCGTCACATTAGCAATGGCTGCACTGTACAATTTAGAAATCCACGAGATCTGTGAATTGTTAACATCTTTAATGGATCGAGTGGCTGTACTACGAGGTGCAGTCCATCAATTTGAGGAGGCAACGAGGCTTGTGCAGCAGCAACACGTGCTGCACTCTTTCAGAGTAGATTACGATGTACACGGGTGTGAAAACGGGATAGTTTTGGCATCTATGTAAGTATTGCTAACTGATATTACGTATGAAAGATTTACTCTTAATCTTATACTATTCTTAATCTTATACTATTTTTTATTTTGCTTGTAGGCAGGATATACGGGCTAACTTGACGACGGCTATAAGGCTACTGGAAATATTAACAACACGGTTCCAGCAGATGGAAAATAATGCAGCGCGCACCGCGGTAGTGTTGCATGCGGTGGCGGAAGCGCTTTCTGCGGACGCTGTGCAACCGTAGGTATCTATTTTTTAAATCTGTACTGTTATTATAAATATATTAATAATTTTTCTTTTGTTACAGATGACTGATTTTTATTACATTGATTATTATATGTGTATTATTTGTATATTATTATTATATATTATTTTTGTCACACACACACACACACACACACATATGTAAAGTACACATTTTTAAAATAAATTTTATATTTTTTACATTTTAATCTAATTGTATTGTTACGTCCTGATAGAAGTAGAATTTTTCTCGTTGGGCTCGGCAATACACGTAAACGGGCCTGACCGCACGAGCCGAGCGGCACGTTTAGAACTTGCGACGGGTCAGCGACTGAAAGAGTCGTTTTTACTCCGTCGACAGGTTAACCGCTCGTGGTTCCCTTTTTGGGTCAAGGAATTGAATCCCTTTTACCCGGGACGGAACCTTTGTGCGCAATTTGAGAGGAAAAGTGTGAGGGGGTGACGAACGAGGAGGGTGTGGTTAAATAAAAAAGAACAAAAGTTTAATTTACTAAAGACTTAACATTTTAATTTGATTGAATTTATAATTAGGATACAAAACTCTTAACTCTTATTCGCATGTGTTTTATAATTTTATTTGTGTATTCTTTACAATGTGTATGCGTGTGCGCGCGCGCGTGTGTGTGGGTGTGTGTGTGTGTGTGGATTATTCCTCAGGGGAAAAGACTAGGTTTAGGAAGTCAAACCCTGTGAATTCAGGGTGAGGAAGATGGGGAGGAGGCTCGACGTATTCTATGGTGGTGGCTTCGGAGTTGACGGATATGTTGTCGAACTCCGGATCGTTACGTGGGAATTCCGCCAGTTGAGCCTATACTGGAGAAGGATAGAAACGGACAGGCGAAGGGGGTCTGTACTCCAGGAGTTCTTCAAGGAACGGAGAGATAGACCTAGGAGAAGGAAGTAGAGGAAGGTCGAACACGGGAAAGGGTTGAGGAGGTGGTTGAGGAAATTCCTGAGGAATCGATGATAATACAGGAGATTGGTCGGTTTGCGTGTGAGTGCTTGTACGGGCGTTATTAAATGGGGTGTGTCGCCTAATTCTAACGGGTCTTACGGTGACCCTCGCAGCGTATCTAATGTATGGTGGGAGAAATATGGCTAGGCAGAAAGCAAATGCCAAGAGATCCGAACGGTTCCGACGATTGTTGGGTCGCGGCGAATATTTAGTTCTCACTGATAAATAACACAAAAAATTTTAACCGAAATAGGGACAGAGCACATAATAAGAATAAAGAGAATACTAATAAGAGAAGAAAATAAAAACAAAATAGAACTACCTTAACTCGTTGCAGGATAGTTTCGGATCGGGTTGAATATGTTCGGTGGTTCTGAGCAGGCGCCCCGTTGAGGGAAGGTGTTGTATAGGCGTCGGACCCTTCTATAAACGTGTGGCCACCCTGCTGCGGGATGGTGTTGTCAGGGTGATGGACCCTCTACTTGAGATGCACCACTTGGTCGCGACAAAGTATCAACTAGTTTTACTTTTTGATTCGCGCTCCCGAACTACTCAAAAAACTGTTTCAAGAAACTGAGCTAAACGGAATAACTGCGCAAAACTGCTTGAAAAACTGTGTGTAATTGTGTCCGGAGCCACCAGAACACGGGTTTTTATACCTTTTCTTTGGGGTAGATCCCTTTGGAAAATCTTAGGTTTTTGGAGCGGGGATCAAATAGGAATTAGTCTTGCAAGAAGATTTCTAATGCGGGGGAGGATGGCGTCATTTTTAGTTAATAGGATTAGGTTTAGATGATTAGGTTACTTGAAATGGGGTGGGAAGAAAGGGGGCCCTAACGAATAAAGAGCAGCGTCGTTTCGGGTCCATATACGATGGGGGTTTCTAAGATGGCGTAACCCGGTTGGTGTTAATTAGCATAGATGGAATGCATCTCAGTGTCTTAAGATCGGGGTGGGCGGAGTCTTTAGACCATACGATGGAATGATGGGTGGTCTATAGAGGTGCTTGCCCCGATTCTCGGCTTTCGGATTGGATGGTTAAGAATCGGTATATAAGTTCGCAAAGCCTTGGGTCACTGATCTAATAAATTTGACAGCTTACGACTGTCGCGTGCCCTTGGTGTCGCGTGGAGTGTGCGACTAATGCATCTCGGTTTCCCAGATCTACTAAACACGTGCGCCGTATCAGGTGTCGCGTCTTCTCGGCATACGACTGCGGTCATTGCCCGATCGTCACTCGGTAAAACCCTATCTATTAGCTAGGGTTCCCGTAGGTGGAATTCAAGAATATGGCTAGCTGGTGCCAGTTTTTCTCTTTATCTCTTACTCTAAACGTCTGGAGTCGGCTAAAGACTCCAGCTACCGCAAAATTTTGACTTTTACGATTTTTCTGGCGACGATAGGCACGCTGAGCGGCCAAGGTATTTTGAAATATCCATGCCCCTTGCTATTTTTCTCTGTGAAAAAGCTCGAGCTCCTGGTGTCTCGTGAAAAAAACAGCTTTGGTGTTATAATATTCTTTAAGAGTTTTTGTTGGTCCCGCGCTTACTAGGTCTGGTATTTAATAAAAAGAAAAGAATCGTGAAGTCTGATTAGGACGTAACAATACTATAAGCTTATTTTTGGCAAGAACACAAAAGCAATAAAAAATAAATTAAAAAAATTTTTTTTATTTTTTATTATTGGTTAATTGAAGGCGGCACGATTGTCGCTACTGTTTCTAATTTTTCGGCATGCCCGAACTGGTATAATATGCCTAATAGGTCTTGCATATGGTAATTTGCCGGAGTCTGTATTTGTAATTTAACGAACGCTGCTTTCCCGCGTACGGGTTTAACTATACGGAATTCCGCTTCTTTTTGTTTTGCCAAAATTTTAGTTAAAGCCTTAGTCCTACGAGACCACATGTCGCCGCGTGTAATGGGTCCGGCGTAGGCTAATCCACAGGAGATGGCCTGCCAGCCCATTCTTTTGAATTGGTGTTCTAGAATGTAGAGATCATTTTTGGGGCACAGGGCACCATAAATAATATTCACTTATCTCTTACATATCTATCTGCAGTTAAGTAAATTACATAATTAATGTATTGCGCTTATTGAAATTAAGATATGCATTAAATACAAATAAAGTAAATGTGGTAATAGAATATTAAATAATTTCGAATTATAGGTCAAATATGTAATAAAATATTAAATAAAATTTTGAATTTCAATTGTTTTTGTTTATTTAAATAAATTTTTAGTTATTTATAATACTAAATATAATACTAAGTTGCACTTAATTTTTAAAAATATTTTTTACTATTCATTTGTTATTATTTATTTTATATTATAACATTTATTATATTAATCTGAAATAATAGAAATTGAACTCAATTATAGATTGAATATTAATATTTTTATTGCTAGAAATTTCGATAAGATTTGGAGATTCAAAAGAGGTAGGAGTTGTAAGAACGAAAGTAGGAATTGTATATTTAACATCAATAAAAATAAGGGTTTTCTAGGACAACAAGATTAAAGAAAGGCCAAAAGAAGACATAACACTTTCAAGATAGAACTTGTAGGTCAAGGAACATTATTAGAGGCACAAATAACCATGTATGAGGTTTATAGTAGGTTTTAAATTTCGACTCGGGCACGTTCCAACCAACACTAGCTACATCATTTTTGCAAATAGAAATTGTTTTAAGACCAAGTTCTGTTACCACGTCTAATAATGAATACAAAAATTCTTCAATAAATTCGATTTCAGTTATATTCGACACTCGTTCTTTTATTACCAATGTAATTATATTCTTATTTTCATGATTTATTATTCTTAAAGCTGGGATTATATGAAAATACATATTTTATATTATTAATATAAATACAAAACGGCTTTCATATCTACACAAATTACGTAAAAACAAAGCGTTAGCGTTTTGCATATTTTGCATATTTTGCATATATGTATCTTTTTGAGCATATTTCTTGTAAAATTGCATATTTCCATTTTGTCAATTATGTTATCGAAATATATGTGTACGATGAAGATCGATACTTTCTGTCATTGGATGATTCTGCTCGTGCAGTGCGAGTACTAACATAAATCGCTAAAATACCTGTGAATCTAAAGCAGGCCATACACGATCGAACATACTCGGTGAGCATGTTGATGAAAATAGTTGACAGCTGGCTCAGCGGACATGCGCGATCCCGTGTTACGTGCGAGAAGCCACGTAATAGATAATTTTGAATAAATCTGGATTCGTTTGTGAAAAGTTTTTATTAAGTGTTGCTTATTCGAGCTGTGATCGAGAACTGGACTGATGAGATGGATCTTAGTTCCAAGTGCTCTAGGAAATTCGTAGAGGTGGAAGGTTTTATCGAAGGAAAAGGTTTTATTGAAGGAAGAGGTTTTATTGAAGAGAAAATGCGCGTTATGCACAGGAACAGTAATTAGGCTAACTTACGTTTGTTGCAATTATAGGAGGGTCATTTGTTTAGGGTCCGGAAGGAGTAAAGATAAAGATGGTTCGAAGGTTTAAATAAAAGGGGTAATTTAAGGAACTATAAAGTTGCAGCACGTAATACCCCGTCGAGTTCAACTGTTTGCCGGACGTGTCCTGACATGTTCAACCGTGTTTGGTCTGCCTAAAAGATACAGCTAGCCAGTTGAAACTAACTAATTGCACTGATCGTTTTCGTTCCTTGTATTTTATTTTTAATAATGCCGAAGTCAAATTTACTTATATCGCTGTGGATAAAAGATTACCCCGAACTCTATTTAGATAAAGGCAGTGTATTCTGCAAATATTGCAGTAAAACTGTAAGTAAGTTTTTTTTCACGTTTTATTATTTTTTTGTCAATTTATTATTTATTTTAGGTATCATGCAATAAAAAATTTCGAATAACGCAGCATCTTGGCACTAGTTTGCATAAAAATAGTTTAATAAAATTTAGCACAACTTACTTTAAATCAATTGTTTGCTTCAACATCTAAAAACAAAGAACAGGAATCTTTTCATTTTGACTTGTG